ACGGCTTAACACAGAGGACATCTCTAAAAAAATCCCTGTCAATAAACAGAGTGTGTCTCTATCCCATTACATAAAGTCTCACCACTCGGGGTTGTCACTGCAGCACCACAGAAATGATCTCTTGTTGGTAAGCTAAATAATCAATGTTAGAACTTCCCCAAATTCAGCAATCAATCTGTTCTTTCTCCTGAATCACAGGGTCACATTCAACTTTCTCCTGCCACCCAGGCCATGCATGTGCAGTGTTCCCACCGTGCTCAAGTCTTGCCCTACTGTCTCTGATTACACCATAGCACTCTGCTGAAGCCCCAAAACAGCTGCAGCATCTACTTTGAAAGTCAGGCAAAAAAGACTCCACCCTCAAATGGGGAAAATAAAAGGCTGCCAAATGGTAGCATCAGGCTCTGTAACAAGCAGGTGTTGCTATATTGCAATTGTCTATGGAAAAAAAAGAAACACAAAAAACGACCAACTCAGCTGCTTACAATTTAAATACAAAAAACCAGTTAGATACCTGACATCAGCCTTTCATTGAGAGGCAGTTCAGATTTTGGAGCAACTTCTGAGCCCTTTTGACAAAACCAGTCCCACCTGCTCACTCCTCAGCTTGCATGGGACTTGACAGCATGACACATCATGGGATCTTCCACCTCTCCATCTCCTGACTTCATCCCAGACACCAAAGGAGTTCATTCTTGCTGTTGACTACAAGGCAGGGATGATGAGCGTGGATCACTTCAATTCACATGAATAAGGAGGCCTAGAATTAGCCCTGCTCTGGCCACAACACAGTCTCGCAGGGGAACTATGCTATGATACCTCCATCTGTACCCCTAAAGGTGACTGGCACATACTTCTTGCTTCTGATTACCTTTGATATACGAGGCAGCCAGAGTAGAGACTCATGATTTCTCCTCTGTTCCAATACCTTAGGAAGGGGGCAGCAAGGCAGGCAGGACACGCTTACTTCTCCCCAGGAGATCTCTTGCCAGTCCTCCAGCATCTCTCAAAGCCTCCCAACAGCTTTGCAGCGTTCTTTTGGAGAGGGGCTCCTAGGCTCACACACAGTATCTTTGCCTGTGGCTTTCTATTTGTTTTCACATTTTTAATCTGTAAAAACCCAGATTATCTTGTCTTGCTTGTGACAGCATTTTACCTGTTTTAACCACAACAGACAAAGCCCCTGGCTTGCTTATGCTTATGTTCATATACATAACTTCGAGGGCAGGAATAAAGGAAAAGCACTGGTCAAACATGATATCTCTTACCTCAGACACCTAGAGGATGACATATCAGACATCAGGACACCATAGACCAGAGCTTGGAAGACCCTGGAGTGGCCCAGACCCAGTGCAGAGAAGGGGAGACAGCAGCAGAGCAGTTAGCAGGTGCATGTGAAGGCAGGCTTGGAAAACTGAGCCACATTTGTCCAAAGCACACTTGTCTATTATCAGACACGGCAAACCACCACCACCTCTCCAACACCAAGTCACTTAATAGCTTATGGGACATGAACAACCTAAAAGCCCTTCAGTGTACGGGCTAAAAAGAACATCATATGCAAAAATCACGGCATTTCACAACGTCTGCAACAACTCAATTGAGGTCTCATCTTCTTTGAGCGGCGAACTATTCTTGTTGGTCCCTCCAAGCAAGGATATGCCTTTCTTAGACTGACAGCGATACTTTTATTTATATAGAGTGCAAGACCACAAAAAGTTCAACATAGCAGTTATCAGCCAAGCAGATGACTGCAGCCTCAAAGCACACTGAGATTCCAGCTCAGATGCCAATTCAGTTACTACTTCACCCAGCTACAAAACTGTTTCAAACATCAAAACTTCCTTAAAAGGACCCTACCAGGGCATTTTTACATCACTTTTATCCACTATTTGTTTGCCATAAACCCTCAGAAGATTGACTCCAGGATCTCAACTCTTATTAACCATTCCTATGTGCACTAGGATAGAATGCAAGCACTCTGTCCTTAGAGAATTGCTGCGTGTATTATCAGCAGAAGTTACAGAGCGTGCATGCAAAGGACTGAGAGGGAAGAGAAGGACAGAAAAAGCAAGGATTAATCCTCCACTCATGAACAACCAATTCCTTCTTTGAAGGGGAATTCGATGAAAATTTTGGACGACCAAAGAATGCACCACCGGTTTCATGAATGATGACACAGATTGTGCAAGCAGACACATAGCCAGACTGCACTTCCATTTTTGAGCACAAATTTGGCAGTGTCTCCACAGAAATATTTCCCTTATTAAGGTCAACAGGCTGCAAAGCAGTTCTTCAGCCCAGTCCTAAAAAGACCACAGCCCTATTTAATAATCAGCAGCGTTGTCACTGGCCAGGGATTTCCGCTGGAAGAGCTTGGAAAGAAACAGACATTTCCCTCACTACACATTTTTGTAACGTTAGACCCATCTCATTCCTACACCCTGTTAAAAATTACACCAACCAGGTTTCACTTGCACAAGAGTCAAGCCAGCAGCACAACTAAAACATGCACACCTCTTGATCCACAAAATCAGGAGAGGAAGAAAAAAACGAAGAAAAAAAAAAAGGCTTCAGCTTCTCGACTGCCATTTATGGGCTCCTAAACAGTCTTTTATTCATAGAGCAAATACACAGCAAAGAATATTTTAGATTAAATGCAGACATACAGGCCATCTCAAGCTAAATGATGGTTTACGTTTTTCATACAATCCAGGCAATAGCTGGGCTAGATTTAAGCATCATCCAAGAAGACAAACAGGTTTCTCTATTAACTGCAGCCTTTAATCACTCTTTAGCACTTGCACACATCAGCCCTGCCTTTGAAACACATTTGTCTTCTCAGCATGCTCTTCTCTCAGCTAGACTCGCACAGTATTTAAGACAGTCACCCCTTGCTCCAAGGCAGGGCCACTTGGGATGCAAAGTCCTGTGCCCCTGGCAGCAAGGCCCAGCCTCTCTCCCCTGGAGAGCTTCAGAACTGCTGCAACCCCCGCTTCCAGAGGCAGCATCACCCAGGTAGCATTTGGAGGTCTGGCACAACAGCACCTGCTCCTCCCATGCCCAAAGATGCACTGCTTACCTTTCTAGCACATTTACGCTGGCTCCTAGGTGAGAGGAAACCTTTCCTACCACTAAGGAAATATATATGGCAGAGCCAAATCCAAAGGAAAGGCCCTTCACTTTCGATGTGCCCTTATGCTTCCACACCTGCTCTGACTGTCCCCAGTCAGCAAAGATGCCCGTCGCCTGCAGACAGCCGAGCTCATCTTCACATTTCACTTTTAAAGCACCATCTACTTACCAGGGGAAAAAAACCCAAACCATCAGCCACAAAACATTAACACACACACAAAAATAAATAAATAAAACATGTGACTGCAGAACTGAATTATTCATAAGCTAAAGCTTCAATAGCCACCCATCCACCTGCACATACAGTTTGCTGCCTTTGCCGATTTTGGTGGGGGATTTTTTGGTTGGTTGGGTCTGAGGTTTTTTTGCATTTTGTTTTCTTTTTTAAAGATTCTGTGTTTCTTTAGTCTTGTGATTTTTTTTCGGAACGCAGACCACTCTGCCCCAAGCACCATGTCAGCAGCAAGACCCAGGATGCGGATACCATTCACCAACTCACACAACACGGGTTCACCCTCCCACCCCCAGTCCAACGGCTCTTACATAAGCTAGCACAGTTAGAGGGAGATGCAATCGACAAGAGCTAGGACACAGACTGAGGAGCAAACAGCATCTCCTTATTCTCAAGGTCCAGAGGAAAAAGAGAAGAAGAAAAGAAAAAGAAAAAACACCACACTAAAATAACCTCCCAAAACACACCTTATTACTCTCATTTGTCTATGAACTAATTCAGCACCACTGCTTGTTTTACCTCAAATCATACCTCAGTTCCCTTACAGTTTCAGGCTACCTGTAAATAAAGAATGCTCCAACATAGATCTATATGTGTGAAAAAAAAAAAAAAGCACATTTCTAAAATGCTTACAGTTCAGAGTGCACTTTGATTTCATGAAGATATACACACCAAAGCACCTTTCCCACGGCCCCTGCAAGCTCCAAAGCAAACGCAGTGAAGGAAGGAGGACAGAGGTTAGGAGGCAGTACCTGGACGCATACAAAGTGAAACAAATGCTGCTGGAAAACACCACCGACAAAAGCCCCCGACTTTAGAGGTAATATCTTGAAAAACCACCACAACTAGTCATACCCCAGAGGAGAGAGACTATGTGCTTTTCGTTTGATGAATGGGGAAGAGAGGAAGGAAAATAATTGCTCTCAAGAATAGCTCCAAAAGGCACAGCCTGGGAATCGCTTGTAGGTGAGACAGTTAAACAAAGAAGATGGAGTATCCCCCTCTCTTCAGGGAGGAATTATTCTTGCTAGAGACAGGGCTCCCGTTCGAAAAAGTGCTTTTTAAACAGGGCTATGGAGACCAACACACCCATTGTCTACCAGGAGGACTTTTCCTCCATTCAGAGAGGCTGCAGCACAGTCCAGGTTTTGGGGGTGGAAAGCAGGAGGAGGACGGGGCACCTTCGGTTTTCTGGGCATCTCTATCTGCATTTACAAATAGCTCAAAGGAAGAGGGAGCTGCAGGGTACAGAATTAGGAAAAGGAAACAACACAGTGCCATTCACAAGACTCAAAACAAGGAGAAGGACAGGTCAAAGCCTTTTCAACAATGGCACCGCTAATGCTCAGGGCCAAAACCCAAAAAGCAGAAAAAAAAAGCATGGACAAAGGGGGATGTAACATCCCTCTCATCTCAGAATACGGTTATTTTAATCCTGTCTCCTTGGAGCTACCCTAATATTTTCTCTCATGACTCAAGCCACCAGGGATGGGAGTTAGAGCAGAGGAGAAAAAAAAATAAAAAAAAATAATAAGAAAAGAAGAGACAGAGCTAAGACTAACACCATAAAACTCCCTTCTAAAAGTGGTAAAGTTCCAGAAGAGATGAAAGGCAAAGCTGAGCTGTGCCTTACCTGGAAAAGCGTGTGGGTTGGGTGACCCTCTTTTAAGGCACTTTGAACAAAGGACGTGCACAGTGTAGTACAGGACTGGCCATTCCTGGAGCAGGACATTCAGTTCTTCCACTAACGGGGTAATAGCTTGCCAAGCTGTCCAGATATTTGGTAGGGACGCGTGACTAGCGATAGACAGAGTATCTGGCTGCAGAGCTCCCCTGGCAGGCTGGTAACTCACCACCACGGGCACCTTTCCCCGGTAGGCATAGATCTGGTATTTGCCATCTGACCGCTGAACCACGTGGCTGTTAATCTGGACGCTGTAGCGGGCAAACAAGCCGGGCGGGAAAATGAATGGAAAGCTGTATTCAATCTGCAGCTGCTCGACCACGAAGGACTGTCCGCTCAGGTTGGTGCCATTGATCCATGCCTCCGCATGGGGCACCTCGTTTTTCACGTAGCAGGGAAACTTGTACCAAGCGGCTGCCCCATTGAGGGGCTTGCATTTGGGTTTGTTGACACAGTAACAGAGCCCCATCTTCTCCAGCAGCTCCAGGATGAGCTGCAGGTCCTCCCGGCTCTGGATGTGGGGCTTGAGAAGGAGACGGATCACGTGCGCAGGGAGGAGACCATGCAGCAAGAAGCCCTCCACGTAATGGTGGAGCTGAGTGGTCCTCAGTTCGTCAATGTGAGTGTCACTGAGCAGTTTCTGGAGCAGCACGGTGGCATCCCGCTGGCAGAAGACATTGAGGATGTCAATGAGCCGCGGCAGGTTGTGGAACACGTACTCCCGCAAAGTGAGGTGCTCCTCAAAGTAAAGCAGCTTCCCGCTCTCGTGCAGGTAGGACAGGGCGCTCTGGAGCCGATCCTCCGTCAGGCCTGCCTGCAAGCCCAACCGGGCAGAGTCCCACCAGCTAAGCCACAGCTGCTGAGCTTGCGGCTGGACAGGTGCTGAGCTTGCGGCTGGAAGTGCAGCTCCTCCAGCACTTGCCAGGATTTGGGCAACACTCGGTGCAGGTTTGGGAAGATATCCCGGTGCTCAGCCACCGAGAGGAGCTTGTCCCGCAGGCGACGCACTTGGCAACGGTCCCGGCAGCTGAAAGGCAGCACTGGAGAGAGGATCTGTGGGCGGTGGTTGAGAAGGTACTGAAATTGGGCTTTCTTTCGCCGCAAGTTCTTGTCCGAGACCCCATAAAAGGCAGCGTGCGGGCTGGAGCAGCGCAGGTCAAAGTCCTGTCCCAGAGCCTCATCCACCTGCTGGACCAAGCTCTGGAGTCCCTCAGCATCCCTCTTCTCCTGTTGAGCGATCTGGTGATGGATGTCGAGGCACTTCTCTTCCAACTCCCGCTCCGCACAGAGGTCAGCATGAGTTCCCACCATGCACACCACAGCATGGGGCACCTTGGAACCAAGCCAGTGCAAGAAATAGCCCACAGAGGGGTAGAAGTGCTGAGGGACGTAGGCACTCAAATTCACCACCAGCACATACAGGGCCCCGGGAGAGAGGAAGAAAGACTGGATCACATCATAGCTTGGGTCCCCCGCAAGCTCATACACAATGAACGTCAGCCCCCTCTCTGCATCCGCTGTCCAGTCCATCACTTCAATGCCCTTGCTGCCTCCCGATAGTTCCAGCCCTGATGGTGCATGAGGAGCATTTGGTGGCAGCAATGGTGCAGGGCACAGCGTTTCCCCTTTCACTCGTCGAGAGGGCACGTGAGAAGGGATGTCCTGCCGCTCAACGGGAAGATGTTCCAGCTGCTGCGTAGCAGGTATGCGTGCGGAGGAAGCATCCTGGGTCTCCAGGAAGGGGCAACACCCAAGTGGCATTCTCCCAGCGTCCTGTGGCTGCCCAGGGCACCCTCTGAGCTGGGTGCTCCTCGCCTCCAGGCTTCCCATGTCCTCTCTCTGCCCATCCTCCTCCATGAGGCATCGTCTCAGGAGGGTCTTTCCCGCATCCTTCAGGCCCATGAGGACCAGCTTGAGGCGGGGCTTGAGAGCAGGCTGGGAGTGGGCCAGCTCCTGCTGGTAGGCTGCAATGTAGGGGATGCCTTTCATGCACACCTCATAGGGAGGTTGGATGAGGGGGTTGTCTTTGATCTTCCACAGGGTGACGCGGGAGAGCTGCCCAAAGCCCTCGGGCAGAATGGCAATCTGGTTGCCTTGCAGGACCAGCTCCTCCAGGCTGTG